CGTGTGCGTGTGCGTGTGCGTGTGGGTGTGGGTGTGGGTGTGGGTGTGGGTGTGGGTGTGGGTGTGGGTGTGGGTGTGGGTGTGGGTGTGCGTGTGGGTGTGCGTGTGTGTCTGTGTGTCTGTATAACTCATGAACCGATACAACGAAAAACACCAAATTTTAAACTTAAGCTTTGTTTTAGCGTCCAATGAGCTGATTAGATTTTGGGCAGAGTCGGAACATCTGGGGGGATACTTTATAGGTGGTCATTTTTATATTTTATGGAATATATCTGTTATTTACGTTTGGAGAAGAAAATTCTTCAAATAATTATCTATAATTTTTGTTCTATGCAAAATTTTCCTAAAATGGTCCGTATTCGAGAAATTTGACAAAATGTAAAAAAAATAATTTTTTATAAAAATTGTTTAAATAAAAGTTGTTTGTAATATAATTCTCTATAATTTTTATTCTATAATTAATTTCTCTAAAATGGACCGTATTCGAGATATTTGAGAAAATGTGTAAATTTCGAATTTTGAAGAAAACTCAAAAACTGATAAAGAAAAAAACATAAAATTTTAAACTTAAGGTTTATTTGGGCCTGACGTGAAATGATTAGATTTTGGACAAAGTCGAATCATCTGGGGGGATACTTTATGGGAGGCCGTTTTTATATTTTATGGAATATATCTGTTATTTATGTTTGGAGGAGAAAATTGTTCAAATAAAAGTTACTTCTAATATTATTATCTATAATTTTTGTTATATGTCAAATTTTCCTGAAATGGTCCGTATTCGAGAAATTTGACAAAATGTGCAAAATTCTGATTTTTATGAAAATTGTTGAACTAAAAGTTGTTTGCGATATCGATCTCTATAATTTTTGTTTATACATGATTTTTCTGAAATGGACCGTAATGGAAAAGTGCTAAATTTAAATTTTTCAGTATTTTCGTTTTCAATGAATATCTATAGAAAAATGTTTCGAGGTAGATATATGTGGACAATGTATATATTTGGTTTATCCTCCTCTAAACATTTATTGAAGTGCTGCAATAGGTTGTACAAAATAACCGGAAAAGCCTATAATAACTAGATAGGAAAGTCATGTGTTGGACACATCAGATTTTTAAATATAGGAAATGGGAGAATATAAAAGTGTGTAATAGGTACGCAAAAAAGTGTTGAATATTTGCTACATAGGAGTTTGAATTTTTAGTTTTCTTTTTATGGCTTTTTTTTAGTGCAAATATGACATGTTTATTTACGTGTTTGTTTTTATTTTTTCATGAATTTTTTATAAATAAATATTTTTTAATGGAACTGTGGTTCTTTATATATTAAGGTACTATATACGTCCTAATATATATATACCTAAACTATATATCTCGCTATATTTATAAAGTGCGACTGGGCCTCCAGCCGTGTTAATTTTTAGGTTCACTGAGACTCCGCTGGAATCTACAGCAGAGTCTTAGTGAGCCTAAAAATTAACAAGGTGGGCCCAGTCGTACCGTATGAATATATAATGAGAATGTTTACTCATCAGTAAGCTTTAAGGATTTTTTTTTGAATTCGTTTAAAAATTTATATTATGTAGTAAGAAACTATTAACAGATTTCTATAATTTTTTAACCAGTTTTAAATATACAGTGAGTCCACTTAAGTACGCAGTATATTAAAAACTTTTTTATTATTAAATTAACGAGAAAAAGTTATTCTTCATAAAAAGTTCTGCATTGTTTAAAACCTAAAACCATCAGATATTTTATTTTATAAATTATTTTTAGTACCTTCTGGTAATCTATGTAGACGTAAATGTTTCAATCTATATTTTTGTTCTTGTTCATCAAATTTATCATGTAGATTTTTATTTTCTTTAAAGCGTACTGATATATTATTCATTGATGTGATTTTATAATTTACTTCTTTTAAATGTACTTCAATTGTTGTTAAAACAATATCGGTCATTGTTTAGCTAGATCTTTTAAAACCTTATATGTAATAATAATATCGGCAAAAAATTTCTGAGAGGTATCTGTAACAACATTATTTAATTTTTTGTCTTTTTGTAAACACCATTATTACATTTATGAAAACAAAAATTTTAATTTTTAAACTAGTATTGAGCAAAAAAGTCATTATAATATGTATATACACACAAAACTTGAGAAGACTTAAAAAGAATAGAACTATTGCAATTGGTTTGCCGGCAGAAACGACGAATTCGCATACTACTCGCTAAGAAGGTTTATCTTCAACGGGTTATTATTATTTTAAATAAAAACATATGGTCTGAGTAATTAGGTTTTTCTTCCTTCTGCTAAATAAATTATTAAAAAGTGGCAACAGTGCTTGGAGCCTCAGTAAATACATTATCTCTAGTAAGAGGAGGCGCATTAACATAAACAGTTTCAAAACATATGTCAAATGTATATAGTGGACGTTACGTTGACCTATCCAACTAATGGTAGTTGAATTAGTCTTTACAAATAACGGTGTATATAATGGCGTATATACGGTGGAGTTTTGGTAGGCCATTTATGGAATGGAGTCCCAGTAATGCCACGTAGCTAGATATATATATATATATATATATATCTATAGTTAAAAGTACGTAAACTTGGCATCAATGTTCAATCCGATTATTGAGTTTCTACCGCGGACACCACCGTTCATTCTTCAAAAATTTTGTAAATAATCCTATCTGTCTTGGTTATATATCTATGGATTTTACCAATATGGTCACTTGTTATTTATGCTTGTGTAAAGTTTAAACCAAAAGAAAAGCGAATATAAGTGCAAACAAAGAACATTTATTTATAAGGAAGAAACAAACGCAATCTAGCAAGTTCTGCCAAAAGACAAGGAACAATTAAATATTAAAGTGTATTAAAAAATAATTTACGAGGCATGGAAATTTAAGGTTATACCAGATAAGTACATTTTTATATTTTGTTTGTACCTGACAACAATGAAATATTTTATAAGATTCTTCCAAGAAATCATTAGGTTTCATTCACAAGGTTCGTAGTAATAGCTAGTTGATTCACTGTTAATATTTAGATTTTAAATTATTCATTTTGATTACTTTTAGCTGCGAGACGAAACCATATGATTTCTTTTCTATTTAAATTAAAATTCCGAATGACATATAAATTTCTTACTTGAGCTGTCTATTTCGTTCAATTTAATTTTAACAAAATTTAAATTGCTCAAATAAGGAGATATTTATTTGTCGTTCAAGTTAAATGTTAAAATTCATTATAAAAAAAAATTATTCACTACTAAAATTAAGATTCAATTCTTTTTTAAAATAGAACTTTTATCAAAGTTTATAGGCCTTTCATATTGTTAATATTTTGCAAAATATTTAAGTTTTTGTTACCTGAGATCTCATTTTTAATGTTTTAGCGCAAGAATATCACTTTTATGCACAGCTTGGAGAATCCTATGTCCAGTCTTGTAGAAATGTGTGCCATTTCTGGTTCAAAGCACCACAGCAACGTTTGTGAAGAAAAAACTAGACTCTGTGATGTGATTTTGCAACGAAAATCTATTGTAGAATGGAAAATAGGTAATTTTCTACCCAATTTTCAGAAGAGATTTTATCAAATTCCCATTTTTTTCTTTCTTCCACCACACTGTCCCAATTGTTCAGTTTCCTTGGAAACCGAACCGAAAACTCTCACATATTCCCTAATCAAGTCACTTTTGTCAGGTAAGTTGATGTCTTAATTTTAATAATTAAAATGTTATATACAGGGGGAAACAAAAGTATTGTCTTTTTCTTGGCTTTCATTAATAAAAGTGTTTCTTGTTTTGTTATCACTTTTTTAAATGTAAATGAATCATTTAAACACTTATTCTACTTCTTAAAACTATTTACAAACTCAATAAAATATGTGTTTTGTTGTCAGGTATAAAGTTTCTTAATTTTCTCTTATTAAGTTGAGTTTATTAGTTTAATTTGTTTATTGATCGTTAACCTACATGCTTCTATCTATTTATCATTTTTTTCCTAATTATTTAATGTTATAAACTTTATTCTTTGTAGATTTCCTGCACTTATTTGGAGAAAACTGTTTCCTGTGGATATTTTTAACGGCTTGACTGATACTATGATACTACCAGTGAGATCTGTCTTATTCGTATGCAATATTCTCAAGCACTCATTTACAGGTTGCAAATTATTGTTTAATTTGTACTTCACAAACCCGTTAAAGCAAAATTGTAAGTATTACGTTTGTATGTATTATTATTTTATTCATAATTATTATCATTATTTGAGACTTATTTCGTCTTTTCTTCTGGTCAAACTAATTCATTTGACTAAAAATGATGCACATTATTTATTAATTATTGTTACTTTGCGGTTTGATATACCAGGTGATTCATAAATTCAATTATTTCTTAATTATACATGATTTTGCGTTAAGTTTCTTTAATTTCAACTTATAGATTTTATTGACCGTTACCATATAACAATTAGTATCAAGGAAATCTTCTAATAAAGTTATATCAATTCCTACTGACATTACTGGTTATTCTGCAGGATAAATTAAGGGGGAATAAGTGTATCTACGAGCTATGTGCTGCAGTGGCCTAAAGGCGTCGAGGGCTACACTCTGAAGATCCAGGTTCGGTCCGTAGCCAGGGCATTAATTTTTTCTTTTCTTTATTTCTCAAGCTTTCTAATTTTTCTTTTGTTCGTTTTCACTTTGCGGATATGAAAATATATTTTACTTAATTTCTATAGAGAATAGGGGATTATATTTTTATATTTTCAAAAAAATGTGTTCATTTTTAAAACATTAAAAACTTGTACTTAATGTTACGAAATTTAATCCCTCGAAGCGTTATTTAAAAGAAATTGTCTACCACTTACACGTAAATTTACATAGATACATGTAATTTAAATTCTCAAGTTTAAATTATTTTTTTGGGAATTAAAAATACTTCAAAAAATTTGTATAAATTAGATATTGCGAAACAAATTATTGTCAGACCATACAAAATGTTCAGTGCCAAAGTTGTTATCTTCCTAGTTGCTGTAGCTGTATGCTATGGTAAGTAAAGGTTTCTTGTTTCCGAATTATTTAAAAAAAGCGTATTTTTTTCATAAATTATCATTATACAAGTATTCTCAAAATAACAATTTCCCAAAAAAGTTTTATAAAATAATTTATTTTTCAATATTTTTAAACTATTTTTAATTTTCATAAAGCTGACATATCAAATACGTATGTCAATCGAATAACTTTTATTTTAATACTAGATACAGATGTGCTGCTACTTCTCACGTATTGTGACGTTTGTTTATTTTAAACAACAGCTTATTTGTTAATAATTTATTTGAACACTTATTTATTTTAAATTAATACTATTCTTATTTATATATATTTCGAATATCTTTAAATTGTTCACTATTTATCTTCACAACTGTTTCTATACGTATAATTGCTCCAATATATTTAAAATTATGGTGAAGGTACTAGAATGTTCTTTGCCAAAACTAGTTAAATTATCACGTTCAATCTTGAAAGCGCCTTCGCCATAGTCGTCACATAGGTTTGATCTTAAGGGGTTTAATTATGTATGATAATCGGACAAGTTGAGCCTCAAAGGCTACATAAGACAGAGAGGGACTTAGAGGATTAGAGCATGACTGAATAATGAAATGGCTTGCATTATTTTAAATAATCGCCCGGCCCTAATTACTGGCAGTGGGGTTATTTAAAAAATGTGCTATTTAGAACACAACAACGTTAAAAAATGAAAAGAATATATTAGGAAAAAAATTGATACAATTTAACCAAAAATACTAAATAATGCTATGTACAACTTAATGATTAAAAAAATGGAAATGAACAAAAGAAATACCATTATTTAAGCAGTCCAATATCTTTCGCATCCTATTGTCAACAACATTTCTTAAAAATACATATAAAAAGCTGAAATATATCTTTACTATACAATAATTGGCATTTCAAAAAAAAATTGATAAATATTCTAGGGTGCAATCGTTCTTTACTTTGCTGAAGTAATCTGATTTAATTTTTCAGTAATAATCTTCCAGCATATCTTGAAAATATCTCGAAAATATCTCGAAAATATCTCGAAAATATCTCGAAAATATCTCGAAAATATCTCGAAAATATCTCGAAAATATCTCGAAAATATCTCGAAAATATCTCGAAAATATCTCGAAAATATCTCTAAAATATCTCGAAAATATCTCGAAAATATCTCGAAAATATCTCGAAAATATCTCGAAAATATCTCGAAAATATCTCGAAAATATCTCGAAAATATCTCGAAAATATCTCGAAAATATCTCGAAAATATCTCGAAAATATCTCGAAAATATCTCGAAAATATCTCGAAAATATCTCGAAAATATCTCGAAAATATCTCGAAAATATCTCGAAAATATCTAGAAAATATCTAGAATATATCTAGAAAATATCTCGAAAATATCTCGAAAATATCTAGAAAATATCTAGAAAATATCTAGAAAATATCTAGAAAATATCTAGAAAATATCTAGAAAATATCTAGAAAATATCTAGAAAATATCTAGAAAATATCTAGAAAATATCTAGAAAATATCTAGAAAATATCTAGAAAATATCTAGAAAATATCTAGAAAATATCTAGAAAATATCTAGAAAATATCTAGAAAATATCTAGAAAATATCTAGAAAATATCTAGAAAATATCTAGAAAATATCTAGAAAATATCTAGAAAATATCTAGAAAATATCTAGAAAATATCTAGAAAATATCTAGAAAATATCTAGAAAATATCTAGAAAATATCTAGAAAATATCTAGAAAATATCTAGAAAATATCTAGAAAATATCTAGAAAATATCTAGAAAATATCTAGAAAATATCTAGAAAATATCTAGAAAATATCTAGAAAATATCTAGAAAATATCTAGAAAATATCTAGAAAATATCTAGAAAATATCTAGAAAATATCTAGAAAATATCTAGAAAATATCTAGAAAATATCTAGAAAATATCTAGAAAATATCTAGAAAATATCTAGAAAATATCTAGAAAATATCTAGAAAATATCTAGAAAATATCTAGAAAATATCTAGAAAATATCTAGAAAATATCTAGAAAATATCTAGAAAATATCTAGAAAATATCTAGAAAATATCTAGAAAATATCTAGAAAATATCTAGAAAATATCTAGAAAAAAAAAAAAATAAAAACAATGTAAATTCTATATTTTTATCTGACACCACTGAAAACGAAATCGGAAGCATAATAGATTCACTTAAAAATAATAAAGCACCAGGCGTAGATGGCATAAAGGCTGAGATTTTAAAAAATATTAAATATGAAATAATACCACAAATAGTTCATCTTATAAACTCTATATTTCATGTGGGAAAATGTCCCAATCAGTTCAAAAAGACCACTATCTTGCCATTACATAAAAAAGGCGATAAAAGCAATATGTCAAACTACAGACCAATCTCTTTAATAACAAATTTAACAAAAATATTTGAAAAAACCATAAAACAAAGATTGATTACATTTTTTAAAAAACATAACTATATTTCAAAATGTCAGTATGGGTTCCAAGAAGGTTTATCTACCAAGCGACGCAATAGTGGAATTAACAATACAGTCTATCGGTTAGTTGACGACAGTAAAACCAAGTATCTGCGTATTTCTGGATCTAGCCAAGGCGTTTGATACTGTTTCACATGAACAGCTAGTGGATGCTCTGGAGGATGCAGGAATACGTGGCCCAGCACATGATCTTCTCAAGGATTATTTAAAGGACAGGCAGCAACAGGTAAAAGTTAATGATGTTGTCAGCCAATTTCACACCACAACTTATGGTGTCCCTCAGGGCACCGTATTGGGTCCACTTTTATTCAGTGTATATATTAATGGTCTTTTCGATGTTGAAGTAGAGGGCAAAATAATCAGTTTTGCTGATGATACTGCTGTCATATACAGCAGTGACACATGGGAGAATTTAAAAACAAAAATAGAGTCAGATTTTTCAAAAATTATCGATTGGTTTAGACATAAAAAACTAACAATTAATTTTGACAAAACCTATTTTATGCCTTTTAGTAGTTATAAAAATTCTTTGCCACCATATAACGAAATTAATATTCCTAGCTTGCAAAATATTATTATAAAATACACCCAAGAAATAAAATACTTAGGTATTAAAATCGATTCTCACTTGAAATGGGATGCACATGGAGACATTGCGAGGTGTTTACGATTGCTACTTTCAAAGTTTAAATATCTAAAATCAATACTAGAAATTAACCAACTAAAAATAATCTATTACTCACTCGTAGAGTCAAGATTAAATTACGGGATTCTTGGATGGGGTGGTATTTTACAAACACACCTAAAAAATATAGAAGTACTTCAAAGAAAAATTTTAAAAATCATATACAATAAAAAAATGGACCATCCCTCTGACTTACTATTTTTGGAGAGTAGGGTCATGGATATCAGACAACTATATGTTTATTCTATTATATTGAACATCTATAAAAATAAAAATATTTTACGAAATATAGAACACAACTACTCTACTCGGTTAAAAAATAAAAATTTCGTAGCTACTGATATACGTAAAAAAACAATTGGACAAAGAAATATTCTATATCTATCTTCTAAGATATTTAATTACTTGCCCAATATGTATAAAATTTATATAACAACCATTAATTCATTAAATATGATTAAAAGCATCTTTAAAAAATTTGTGTTAAATTCAAACAGACAGGACTTTCTTGCTATTATTGACCAAAAAAATAATTAATATATTATAGATATAAAAAAAAAAAAAAAAAAAAAAAAAAAAAAAAAAAAAAAAAAAAAAAAAAAAACATAAAATTAATATACAGTTGTTAAACTTACCTTTCCACTACTCACACGTTTTACCCTTTTCATAATTAGTTAATTACCTGCTTACTTACTCTCAACTTTTAGTTACATTTTTACAAGATTGTATAGTATTATTTTCTATATTTTTATAAAATCTAAAGAAATCATAATTATTAATAATTTTATTGCTCGTGCACGACCACATCGGTTTTAACGAGCTAAAATTAATTAATCTGTCTTTTGTTATGTTAGTTTAAACTATCTCTAACCTTATATTTATTCTTAATACTATCTTTGTGAAAAAAAAATTGTAAATTGTAAATTAATCTGTATGTTATGAATAAATATTATTATTATTATTATTATTATTATTAAAATATCTAGAAAATATCTAGAAAATATCTAGAAAATATCTAGAAAATATCTAGAAAATATCTAGAAAATATCTAGAAAATATCTAGAAAATATCTAGAAAATATCTAGAAAATATCTAGAAAATATCTAGAAAATATCTAGAAAATATCTAGAAAATATCTAGAAAATATCTAGAAAATATCTAGAAAATATCTAGAAAATATCTAGAAAATATCTAGAAAATATCTAGAAAATATCTAGAAAATATCTAGAAAATATCTAGAAAATATCTAGAAAATATCTAGAAAATATCTAGAAAATATCTAGAAAATATCTAGAAAATATCTAGAAAATATCTAGAAAATATCTAGAAAATATCTAGAAAATATCTAGAAAATATCTAGAAAATATCTAGAAAATATCTAGAAAATATCTAGAAAATATCTAGAAAATATCTAGAAAATATCTAGAAAATATCTAGAAAATATCTAGAAAATATCTAGAAAATATCTAGAAAATATCTAGAAAATATCTAGAAAATATCTAGAAAATATCTAGAAAATATCTAGAAAATATCTAGAAAATATCTAGAAAATATCTAGAAAATATCTAGAAAATATCTAGAAAATATCTAGAAAATATCTAGAAAATATCTAGAAAATATCTAGAAAATATCTAGAAAATATCTAGAAAATATCTAGAAAATATCTAGAAAATATCTAGAAAATATCTAGAAAATATCTAGAAAATATCTAGAAAATATCTAGAAAATATCTAGAAAATATCTAGAAAATATCTAGAAAATATCTATCTAGAAAATATCTAGAAAATATCTAGAAAATATCTAGAAAATAAATATCTAGAAAATATCTAGAAAACATCTCGAAAATATCTAGAAAATGTCTCGAAAATATTTGGAAATTCTACACCTGTAATTTTGAACCAATCAAAATACGTGTTTTTGACAGATCACCATGGCAACGGAGGTATTTTAGTGGAAATTGTTTTCTCGTGGGGTACCCAACAGCGAATTATACTGGAAATTTTTTGACGTTTACAATAACAGACCATTTTTGACAGACTGCTTTTTATTTGTTCACATAATAGGTTTAGTTTTGATACATTTTAGTTACAATGCTAAGGTGTTTTCTATATTCTTCGGCCACTTCTTTTCTTCTTAATGGCGAAAATGCAGGACTTTGGATGCTTTGAATTATGTGTCTATGTCTAATAAAATATATATAATATTTAGACACTAATTTATTCACCTTTTTCCCATTCAGCACTTTTACGTAGTTTAGGTGCAAATATTCGTGGACAATTCGGAACAAATTTTCGTTTTTCAAGTTGGAGCCACAATCCTCTATTAATCCGAGTAAGTAAGTCATGGTGCAATGATTGATCATTACATCAGACAATTTCACGCATATTTTGCATAGCGTATGATTTTCAAATCGATTCATTTTTAAACAAATAGGTAATTTTGTTGGTTTTACTTGCTGTGCAATATTCTTTATCGCAACAAAACGCGAGTTATTTAATGTTTTGAACTGTCAAAATACAATGATCACAGCCTCCTACGATTGATGCTTGCTGACGCTGGTTATGAATTTCATACCATTTTAAAGCGCTCATAACGCATGTTAATAAAAACGCAGAAAAACGATTTTCTACCACTTTTAGTTATTCAAAACTTACGTAAAATTAAAGAATATACTATTTTCTATTTTCAGTTGGTATTCCCATGCAACTACAATGAGTAGAAATAAGCAATTTGAAGGCCTAAATAATTGCAGCGAAACATTTTTTTACGTCGGGCCGCTTGACAACTTCAAAACTGAAATTATATTCGAGGTTAGGGTCTCACTTAGTTACCATGACAACTCAAAAATCAAGGCGACAACACCTTTTATGTTTCACTGGTGACTTGGAGAAAATAATTTGCATTGTTGAGAAACGAAAAATAAATTTTAAAAATATTTAATTTTCAACCATAATTCGGCGTGGAATTTTCTTACCGAATACCACGCGAGGTCAAATTAATATCAGGAAATTTTTTGACCTCTAGTGGTATTACTAGTGAAAACATAATATGTGTTTCCAAACTATTTTTTCTTCTTCTTTAGGCGATAAAATTGACGCCACACCTGGTCGTTTTAATCCAATTACAATTATTATCAATCGTTCAGAATTATTTTTGGGCCAAAATTTGTGGAGAAAATCATTGATTTATAGCTATTAATGTATTAGAAAGAATTTCATATTTTACTAAATGAATTATAATATTAATAATAATAATAATTACTTTTATTATCAACATTCTTCTAGGAGCACCAAATGCCAGACTCGGCAAACATCACCTAAAGATTGAAAATGGCGTTGATGCTAAAATCGAAGATTATCCATTCGTAGCTTCCATCCAATCATGTTCGGAGAACGACTGCGAACACCATTGCGGTGCTATAATCATTAATAAAAACTGGGTATTGACCGCAGCTGGTTGTGTTGATATTGAACCTACGGTTGCTGTTGGAACTACTGACTTACACGGAAAAGACACAGTTTTTGTTGAAGTTGCATCCATACACGCTCATCCTGACTTCCCAGAGGATGGGTAAGTTCTTAAAAATTCACTTTTATTAAAAATTTAAGTAACGTGGTATTCAAGATTTTTTCTAATTTCTATATGACATTTCACATTGACTATTCTTTGCCATATACGAATCGGACTATCTATAAGAAAGATAGGCTTTAGAGCCTTTTTGACTTACACTACTGCGCATGTTTCATCGTCACGTGGTCCGAGACTGGTTCGCTTCCGCCATATTGTGAATCGAATCCTTCAAATAGCTAATCGTGGTTTCAAACAACGTTTTTTTTTAATTTTTATGTTATTTGCAAACTAAATATATTGTACATATTAAAAGTTAAACATTGGTTGTTTGTGCTCAACGTCTTTTTAGCAACCTAATAGATATTAAATGAAGAAATTATGTGAAATAGCATTCCGCAACTAAATAAACAGCATAATAAACAATGTGCAGGGCCGAATTTGATATAATAATTGTGCTTTGAGTGAGAGTGTTGTAACCATAGCCATTGGCTTTAGCTGCAGCTTCAAATTGAAGTCGATATGTTTCCCATGTTGTCTGACCGTCAAACGTGGGTGGTTTCAGAGTCTTGCTACTATGGTTTTGTGAAACTGCGGTTTGAATACGGCTTGGGTCGGTTACAGATGGAGACGAGTTAGTGTTTTCAGCTTGAATGTTATTTACTGAAGCTTGGCTGCGGATTCTTCTTTCTAACTCAGCTATTTCATCTCTACTCTAGCCCGTTATTGTTATTTTAAATAA